ACTCTTCGTGATCTCTTCGACGCCTTCCTGCCAAGTCATGTGCTGTCCACCTCGCGGTTTGCGCCATCCTGAATGAGGTACGGAGAACGACACTAGTCTCGGTAGACGGTGTTTCGGCATGCGTAGCACATGACCGAGCCATCGCAGTCGATGATGCTGGATGTTTTCCCGGACCGAAGTACCTGCAGCACAACCTAATCAGCTCGTAACAAACAAGCTGAAGCCATCCAAAACCAGTCACGTTGCTGTCTGTCAACTTCTTGCCGGCTTTCATTTGTTGGTGAAATACACTGATTCGCAAATCAAATTAGAGTCAACGAGGGACTCAACCGACGATCACCCCATGTTTAAGCTGGTAAGATATCCGAGATATTGCAGTGTATTTTACTCAGAGAATATACAATCACTTAGAGAACAACATAAACAGAAGTGTCAGCTGCCGTGACATTAAATTCATTTGTGAATTTGTTATTCAAATGGAACATAAATTTGATAGAAACTCGGGGACTGCGCCTACCTGATAAGAAAGAGGAAAGCGGTCGCCGGTCGCAACCTTATGCGTGTTGTTTTCAGTCAGCAAAAATATGCTCATGCTTTTATCGTCTCTCTCCGCAGGGCCATTGTATTTTGAGGTTCTCCTCGCGAGTTTACCCGGGGTAGAAAAATAATTACACCCATGGGAGGAAATAAAATGTTCTCAGGTTCGACGGGTGTGTTCTAAAGGGAGTTTTGATGCTCACACAGATATTGGGATACTTATTTCTCCCTAATCCATTTATGGGAGTGAGATAACTCAAACGGTTAGAGCGCGAATTTACTGACCGGAGGGTTCGAACCCGACCGCTGCCTCTCGACTTCCCCTGTCTAGGCTTGGGCAACCTAACAGTATCCCAGCCCTCGTGCTTCCTTCGGGTGGCATGGCACCTAGGCACCGGAAGCGTGTTACAGCTGACAGACAGCCAGCCTAATCCACTTCCCTAGATGTTTTTTTGAAGCGATGTTTATTTTCTTCGAAACGTTCTAAGCCATATTTCTACCTACTGAGGAATTGCATCATGTCAGTCAACAGATTTGTAAAACCACGAATATCATACTGCAGAACTGCTGGAGGCTCCACTGCGGCTTCACTTATTAGGACACAGCTACCACCGACGGTGTCATCATTACCGATACCGACTGACATTTAAATTGCGTTGAAAAATAACTCCCCCTCCCCACCTGTGCACGTTTGCTAGCGCCGCAGCAAATTCAGGGTCTCCTTCAGCTTCCCCAAATGGGTTCTAATCGTGGAATGTTGTCACAACTACCCAAATTCATCCGAAGCACCGCTGTGCTCATAATTTGTGCTGCGGGCAAGAATGCAATCTTCGTCGCATTTTGTCAATCGAGGTATTCGCGCAAGCAAACGCAAATCGATTTACGGTGGGAACACTTTCCTGACATGATGGAATGTGTCTGGTTTCTCCAAGGTCGTACCTAGTCAGTCACTCGAAAGACCGGAATCACGTGTTTATTGAAATAGACGAGTGCCACTCCCTCATCGGTGAATAAAGAAGAAAGATGAAATCACCAGAACTCATTAGCGCACGATGATTCGCACGACAACACTCTTCTGATCAAAAGATGAAAGCCAATGGTTCGCACACCTTTCTCCCACCACGACTGATAATAACGTACTTGGATGACCTTATAACCGTACGGCATAGTTTAAGTCATCATCATCATCGGTGGACGCTGAACTGCGCGGGCAAATGATACTTCCCGGTTGCCCAGGCCGAGAAAGGGGGTTTGGTTGAGGTACCCCACCTTGAGCCTTTGA